GATAATTAATCTGCCAATATATATATTGATCATAAAAGAGTGACTAGGTCCTATATATCTTCCCCAACTTGGACCATATGTATCTACCAATGCTCCTTGACGCCAGAAACGTGGGGACATGTTGGTATAATCCACGGAAAGCTAAATCTAGTAGAAAATGGTGTCACTCTTGAAATCGCTTAAAGAAGTATGTCGTGAAGACATTCGTCCAGAAGGCGAAAAACCCCAGTAAATTTATAGGTGCACCCAGAATCATAATACTGGGATGCGGAACGACCAGATAAAAATATCTTTGGGAAATGGCTAGAGTCTGGTTGAATTAGAAATCGCCATTATTTTATGGGAGAAATTTATGAAAAATGTTATAGTTGTCGACAACACAATTGCCTTATAAATTGCTCTTAGTATATGAGAATCTGGATCCAGAGCTAGGCACCAGTAGTGTCCTGATTTTTTTTTATGTATAAAAGAGCAATTAAGGCATGTACAGCTCAGCTCGCTAAAAATGTATTCTCTTTATAACACGTACACCATTTAATGTTAACCCTGTAGGTTACAAATGGGTGTTTGTATGAAAGAGAAATACAAACAATATGGTGGTATGATATAAAGCGAGACTTGTAGCTTAAGGGTTTACGCAGAGACCCTGAATTGATTTTGATCAAATATTCTCTCCCACAACATATGGCATTACGTTCCGCAAATTAACATTATTGGTAGTGAATTATGAATTTAGATATGCAGTTGATGAACGTCATGACCGTAATTTACTGGTCATTAGACGCTAATATTTATTTGTAAATCCCCAATGGATTCAACACTTTTGGAATGTGGAAAGTGAAAATCGCAACGTGTATCATTAAATTACTAAAGTCTTTGTATGACTTGAATATTATTGACTGAGTGTTTTCCTCCCGAAGAAGGAATGTATAAATAATATGTACCATTATGTGTTCGTTAAAGAATTGCTAATGGAGTTATTTATTTATCATCTCAGTCGATATTGACGGTTTAAATATCATTGAAACACATAGAGAGCTTGGTGATATTAGCTCATGCCGAAGGATGGAGTTTTAAAATAAAAGACTTGGAAATCCAAGTATTGTCTCGACCTGAAGATCGAGCTTCTCCTTGAAGAAGTTTTATACACCTGTTAGCCTACTTGAAAAATGTCATGAAGATGTTTTATATGGATAAGTATTATTTACTTATCACACAAACGGTTGTCTAATAATCTCTTGAAGTAGATAAAGGACCATTTAGACTCAAAGATGATAATGAGGATATTTAGGGACTGAAAGTCCATTACTTCATTCCTATTGGAGCACTATTATTGAACTAGAAGTTCCATAATCGCATCAGGCCTGATATTGAATTTGCGATGAAATTGCTAGCAACATTTAGTGTTCCCCCTACAATGAAAATTGGAATGGTATTTAACATATCCTCCAACACCTTCGATGTACAAAGTTTTTGACGTTTATGTGAGAAACCCATATGTGGTTTTGATGGGCTACTTGAGCACTGGTTCTTTTATTTGATCCCTATGGTGCCAAGTCCAAAACTGGTTATGTTATATTTTTATCCCCAATGTCCCATATGAGGACAAATAAGATTGTGTTGCACAAGCAAGTAATAGTTTTGTTAAGGGGAACCTTACAAAACATGTTGCACCTAAGTCCTTCTACACACATGAACTCTAGAAAAGTTGTAAAATTCTTGTTGAGAATGTTTGCCCCACTGAACAATCTTGCAGATATGTTCACTAAGTCTCTGCCTGCATCCACTTTTGAGTAATATGTTTATAAAATTGGGATGCGTAGGCTTAGAAGATTGTTATCTTCAGGGGGAGCGACAACCCCTAGCTATGCTAGAATGGGCAATCTAGAGGACTTTTGAAATCCTGGAGATTATGCTATGAAAGCATATGGTTGAACTATTTTTCCCTTAGCTAAGTTTTTCCCCACAGGGTTTTCTTAGACTAAGGTTTTTAATGAAGCAACCGATGTTGGTGCACTTGAGTGGATAGTCCTGAAGACCCTTGAAATCTTGAAGATTATGCCCAGAAGGCTTATGATTGTACTCTTTTCCTTGGCTAAGTTTTTTCCCACTGGGTTTTCTTAGGCTAAGGTTTTTTAATGAGGCAACCGGTGCAACACATGGATCAACATACTTCGTGTACTCTTTTCCTCGTCTAGGTTTTTCCCACTGGGTTTTTCTAGCAAGGTTTTTAACGAGGCATGAGTATAGTTACTTAATGGCCAAGGGGGAGTGTTATAAATATTTTATTATTATGGCCATTAAACTTTTGACCTTTTGTTAGCCTTTACTTATTTCATTACTTATGTTAAAGGATGTGAAAGGTTGTAATCATCCCTATAAATTGAGGGTGAAGGCTTAATGAAAAGTGGGTCTCATGTGATTGTGTTCTATACATTGTGTTCTTTCTCTCCCTTTTACTTATCTATTCTATATACTCATATACATACAATTGCCAAGCATTACCGTTTAAACATCACGCGAGAACTAACGAGTTGATAGGCCGAATTACAACAATAATAAATATGTAAATTTATATATTCATCAAATTCAAGAATTAGATGCAACCTTTAGAAGTTATTATTTCGTGTATAAATAAATTTTGAAATCTATTTAATATAACAATCAATTTAATATTATAAAAGAAAAATATATTTCTGGATAAATTTTCATGATTCGTGTTTGATTTTACTGTTCTTTAAAAACATTATCAACAATAAGTTAAATTATATTCCGTGCATTGCACGGGGGCAAATATATTGAAAAGTCACACTAGCTAACAATATCATGAGAGTCTTAAAACTATATTTTAAATATGAATGTATATATTTAGGTCGAAGAAATTCAAATCTATGGCAAGGATGCCGACCTCAGGGTCAGCCCTAGGAGCGTTGGGTTACGGTTCAAGTCAACATATGAGGTCGGAGAAGCGTGGTCAATTATTATCCGTTACAACTGTTATGACCGTTACGAGTTCTCACTCTATTCGGGAAACATCTGAGTCATTATGTGCGGTATTGAAGTATGTAGCCATTAAAACTTCTTCTTAATTATATAAATAGGCATGCTTATTACTTAAACGAAATTTAATTTTGTATTGTTCACATGTATATTATGTACTAGTGACTAAACATGAGTTTAACATAATTACTTAAAAAAATAAGTCGAACCTAATTACTTTAAAAATATTATAAATAACATTTTTTGATACAAAAAAAAAAAAAAATGAGAATGATCCATCAAACTATATAAAGTTTAATTTTGTTGTATAGAGTGTCTTCCATTGCCTCATCCTGTGCTACAAAAGTTTACTTTCTCAAGGGGCCATAGAAAGAGAAAATGGAAAAGAGGAGAAAAAAGAAAACAAAAAAAAAAAACAAAAACAAAAACAAAAAAAAAATCTGAAAAGTAAAATAAATAATAAATATTAATGTTTGATTACATTTAATGAGGTGGTGCAAATATCACTTTTTATTTACACCACCTATAATGTTATTACACCTATTAAATGGGTGGTGTAAATAGCAAATAGGGTGGTGCAAATAGAATTTCCCTAATTTTAACTTCCTCAAGATTTTTCTCTCAAAAGGTTGAATCTTCAAGGGCTCTACACATTCCGATCTGACAAAACATTTGGGATAATGTAAATATTCAATGGCTCATCAAACAGAGCTAAATGTCGATGTGCACAAAGAATCTGTCCACTTTGGACATAATCTCCACACTGTCGCTACCAAAATTCTTTTCTCTCAAATATTACCTACTAAACCAGTGAACTAAATCCGTGCGTACAACTCCCTCAAAACTTGTTTTATTTTTAACATGCATAGCATGACATTATTGTTTGCTATATCTCTATTTATTTATGAACAAGAGTGAACTAGTAATAACTTTTTATATAATTTTCATTCCTATTAGAATTGCACTATGCATTGTAAAATTATACGGAGTATTTTATATTTCTTCTTCTCTTGTTAACGTGACAATTCACCATTAATTGTTATGAGTTATTATTTTTCTTTGTTTCTTCATCACCTCCTACTCAATCAATGAGAGATGCGTGACAAAAGTATATATATCTCATGAGATGTTCATTAACATTTTCCTTGTCATTATATCACAATAACTTTTTTTTTTTTTTTTGTTTGTTAAATGTCATTAAAGGCATTGACTTGAGAAACCTTGAGAAATAGTCATAGATAGCTTTTTATATAAATTTCATATTATTAAATTTTCACTTATACATTTCAAAATTGTATTTATATTTTAAAATATTTTTTGACATTAAAAATAACCATTGATTGTTAACAATTATTAATCCATGCGTCTCATTTTATGTGTCTGGTTCGGTTTTTGAAGCTTGACTGAAGTTATTTTTAATTTAATATTTCATAATATTAAGTTTAGTATTAGTATACAAAATTTATATATTTAGAAACTATACTAAAAGTACTATTAAACACAAAAAATTAAATTTAAAAATAAGTAAAAAATACTAAAGAAATTAAACAAAGAAAAAAGAGTTGATTTGACCAAGGAATAGTAAGTACGATATATAAAATGGGACAAGGGAAGTAATATTTTTAAAAAATAACATTTTACTCAATCAATGAGAAGTGCGTAATAAAAGTATATACATCTCTTGATAAACTCATTAACGTTCCTTATCACTACATCACTATTCATTTCTTCAAAGGTCATCAACATCCCCCAAAATGGGTAATCAAGTGATTGAGCATAATTCTATATCTAAAGGTCACGAGTTTGACTTTTGTTAATATTTTTTTGATCGAGCATGTACTATGAAGTCTTCAGTGTACCGCACTAGAGAAAATGCTCCGCAATTCCCGTAATTTCTGATCATGTTTCCGATCATCTTTCCGATAGTGGACATCTCTCTCGATCGTGATCTGAGGGAGTGATCTCCCTAGGTTTCTAAGGCTCTTATTTCTGTTGGTTCAATGGCAATCGTATCGTTAATCTTGTTCTTCGTTTTTCTGCTGTGGCATCCCCGTCAATCACCGCTTCTTCGTATGGACATCCACCAATTAGAGAAACGTTGTGCCTATCTGGCGTTGGCCGAGGAGGATGGTGGCGGGCTGGAGGCGCCAGAGGCGCAGTCCATCCCAAATGCGACGATCCAAAATAATCTGGTCGGGAGACTTCTCACCGATCGTCCAATCCGATTTGAACACATGCAACACGTCTTAGCATCGGTGTGGCGGCCGGTGATGGGCATGTACGCATTCTCTCTGGCTGACGATCTTTTCCTTTTCCAGTTTCCCCATCCGAAGGATCTTCAGAGGATAATCGACGATGGGCCTTGGTCGTTCGAGAATCACCTGTTAGTTTGTGAACAGGTGTCGACAGGGACTCGGCCGGAGGACGTTCTGCTAGATTCCATTCCCTTTTGGGTTCAGATCCATGGTTTGCCTGCAATGTATGCTTCACCAGATTTCATTACCAAGATAGGGGATTACATCGAGTCGTTCATTGCATCTGATCCGTTCAATTTTAGAGGGGCTTGGAAGAGCTTTTACAAAATCAGAGTGCGGCTGGGTGTGTCGTCTCCGCTTAAGAGACAAATGAAATTGACTCGGCGTGATGGCACGATGCAGTGGATCACCTTCAAATATGAGAGACTCAACACGTTTTGCTACTGTTGTGAGCTGCTTGGGCATTTAGATAAATTTTGCAAGACTGCCTACGAGGAAGGAATTCTACCAGAGGAATTCCCGTTCGGTGCTTGGTTACGGGCAGGCCCCAGACGACATGTGAAGCTGGTGGGGGCGAAATAGTTATTGTCGTCTACAATGACCCATGCGGCGATGTCGCCTACCCTTCCAGCTGGACCTTCCCCGGTAACGCTCGTGGCGATGGAAGAATCAGATGGATTGCATGGTGATCTGAAACGGCGTAGAGAAGGTCTTGAGACGGCAGACGAGGTGAGTAGAGATGATGTGCTGATGGCAAAAAGTGTAAAACATAACGTGATGGCGGGTCTGGTGGACCAGGCTCACCGGGTCCAATGAGTCTACTTAGCTGGAACTGCCGGGGATTGGGTAGCACCCGGTCAGTTCGTGAACTATTGGGCATTGTGTCCAAGCAGCGGCCCCAATTTGTCTTCTTAATGGAGACAAAGGCGACGGATAATCAATTGGAGCAGGTGCATGTGAATTTAGGCTTTGAAGGTAAGTTTTGCGTGGAACGTATAGGCATCGGAGGGGGCATGGTTTTCCTCTGGAGGGACATGAATGTGGCGTCGCTGATGAGTTACTCCAACAATCACATCGATATGGAGATAACTCTTCCAGGTCGTCCTGTGTGGAGACTGACGGGCTTCTACGGGGAGTCATATAGGAGTAGACGGTATGTCACATGGGACCTCTTGCGGAAGCTCAAGGAAAGGTCTCATCTCCCTTGGGTTGTCGTGGGAGACTTCAATGATATAGCATGTCTTTCGGAGAAGAGGGGTACTCATCATCACCCGTCGGCCCTCATTGAGGGCTTCAATGATGTGTTGGGTGACTGTGAACTTATTGATTTGGGTATGACGGGGGGCCGGTATACTTGGGAAAAGGGCCGAGGAACTGAAGCATGGGTGGAGGAGAGGTTGGACAGGGTTGTGGCAACGGTGGACTGGTTGGAGTTACACGAGGGGGCTCTGGTTAGGAATATCTACACTCTTTCTTCCGACCATTGTGCTCTCTTGGTAGATCTTCATGCAGAACCTGTACGGTCAGCCATTCGAGCCTTCAAATTTGAATCTGCTTGGCTGTTGTAAGCAGGATGTGCGAAGGTGGTTGATGAAGCTTGGCGCCTGCCTTCTGGCTTGAGTTTTCAAGATCGGTTAGCTGTTTGTGGTGAGCGTCTCCAGAAGTGGGGTGGGGAACATCATCGTAATTTTGGTGTTCGCAGCAATAAGCTTAGGCGAATCCTCGCCCAATTAAAAGAGGATCGTACGCCTAATGTAGTGGAAACCTTCTTGGCAACGGAGAGGGAGTTGGAGGCCGTTCTGAAAACTGAGGAACTCTTCTGGAAACAACGTTCTAAGCAACTCTGGCTAAAACACGGGGATGCTAATACGAAATATTTTCACAGGACGGCTACAACCCGCCGTAGGAACAATCTTTTAACTCGTGTCAAGGATCAAAATGGTGACTGGGCAGAGGGGTGGCAATGAAGGCGGAGATAATAAGGTATTTTGAGCACATTTTTTGTTCCGGCACTTGCAGTGCTAATATTTTTGATCGGGTTCGGGAACAGGTGATAGCCGAGATGCAAGCCTCACTGTCTCACCCTTTCACGATGGCTGATGTAAAAACGGCCTTATTCGATATGCAACCGGAAAAGGCGCCCGGCCCGGATGGTTTGTCGCCGGCTTTTTTCTAGCATTTCTGGCCGGTGCTCGGACACAACTTGTCCGTGTTCATCATCAATTGTGTGGAACAAAAGCAGTTTCCGCCGGGATTGAACGATTCTAATATCGTTCTAATTCCTAAGAAGCCTGTCCCGGAAAAAGTGTCGGACTTACGTCTGATAGCGCTTTGTAATGTGATTTACAAAGTGTTAGCCAAAATGCTTGCCAATAGATTGAAGGGGAGATTGGCTCAGGTCGTATCCCAGTCGCAAAGTGCGTTTGTACCCGACCGGTTAATCACGGACAACATTATCGTGGCCGGTGAGGTTGGTCATTTCTTACGGAGGAAAACAGGGGGGCTCAGGGGTGGGCTGCGCTGAAGCTAGATATGGCTAAGGCGTACGATAGGATGGAGTGGCCGTTTTTGGAGGGAATGTTGGGGGCGTTGGGTTTTGAGAGGGACTGGGTGGAGTTGTTAATGTTGTGCGTCACTTCTGTAAATTATTTTATCTTGGTAAACGGGGAGGTTACGGGGCAAGTACGGCCTACCCGGGGTATTCGGCAAGGGGACCCTTTGTCACCTTACCTTTTTATTATTTGTGCCGATGGATTATCTATCCTTTTGCAACAGGCGGAGGCTCGGGGGGACATTCACGGTGTGAGGGTGGCCCGGGGAGCTTCGACCATCACTCACCTGTTTTTTGCTAACGACAGTTTACTGTTTTTCAGGGCAAATGAACGGGAAGCACTAAAAATCAAAGAGTGCTTAGACATCTACAGCATGGCCTCGGGACAGCTCATTAACTTTGAGAAGTCAATTGCCGTTTTTAGCTACAATACGGCCGTTCCAATCTGGAATCTGGTCTCCGGGCTCATCGGGGTTCCCGAAGCAGTGGACTTGGGGCGCTATCTAGGCCTTCCTTCGGCCTTAGGGCGGAATAAAACTGCAGTCTTTCGGTATATCGAAGAGAATATCAGGGCAAGAATTGGGGCGTGGCAAAATAAATTACTCTCCCGCGCAGGTAAAGAGGTTCTTCTTAAAAGCATAGCACAATCCCTACCTATCTTTACCATGTCGATTTTCTTGCTACCTTTGCGGGTTTGTGATACTCTAGAAAAGATGTTCAACCGTTACTGGTGGGGTGGTGGAGGCACATGTAATCGCGGGATACATTGGCTGAGCTGGGATAAGATGTGTACTCTGAAAGCAAAAGGTGGCCTCGGGTTTAAGAAACTGCACGAGTTCAGCATCGCTCTTCTGGCCAAGCAAGGGTGCGGCTTTTAATCCATCCCGAATCCTTAGTAAGTCGCATTTTGAAGGCAAAATACTTCCCCACGACGGGGTTTATGGATGCACAACTAGGGGGGAACCCCAGTTTCATTTGGCGCAGTATTCTCGTCGAGAGGAGAGTATTACAGTTGGGCGTTGCCCAACGAATTGGTGATGGTCATAACACGAAGATCTGGGGATGGAACTGGCTTGCGGGTTCTTCCCCTGTACAATTAAGCACCCCATGTGTCGAATCTCTGAGTGAAGCCAGAGCGCAAGGCCTGTTGAACGAACATGGTCGATGGGATGAAGACATAATCCGAGACATCTTCCTCCCTGAAGATATACCCAAAATTCTTGCAACTCCAGTGAACACTCAATTTCGCGATTGTTGGCGGTGGATAGGTGACATCCGCGGTTGCTACACAGTCAAGCATGGTTACCCCTTGCTCACGGGTGAGGCGGCTTTGAACGGTACCACCGGTGGCTTCCATGCGTGGAAGGCGTTATGGGCATTGCTAATCCCTCCAAAGGTAAAGAATTTTTTATGGCGTTGTGCACGTAGCGTTCTGCCGGTTTGTGATAATCTGCACTCCAAGAGGATTTGGATTGGGGGTGGTTGTCCGATGTGCGGCTTTATTTCGGAAACAACTGAGCACCTTTTTTGTGACTGCGATTTTGCGCAACAGATCTGGGGCCATGCGGATGTATGACAGGGTCGTGACATTCTTAATCTCATGACAACTTTGATCGACAAACCATCTGTGGAGGAAGTGGTGAATTTGGCCGCAGTTTTCTAGACCATTTGGTTAACACGGAACAATGTAGTTTGGCACAATAAGACTCCGTCAATCGAAATGGCTAGTGACCAGATGAGGAGGATGCAGGTTGCCTGGAAAGAAGCTTACGCCGGCCCAGATGGTTCGAATGGATCCACTAGGCCTCCGGTCGAGTGGATTCCGCCGCCGAGAAACACAATCAAATGTAATGTTGATGCTGCAGTGTCAGGGAATGGCGCTAGCTTTGGCATCGTGGTGCGGGATCATGATGGGCGTTTTGTTGCAGCTAAGTGCGGTCGCTTGGTTGGCGAAGAGGATCCGTATATGGCCGAGGTTCTTGGGGCCAAAGAAGCCTTGGCATGGCTTAAAATGCAGCATCATAGTAACATTATTTTAGAATCTGACTGTTTAAATTTTTGTAATGCGTTTAATTCATGTATTTCCGATCATTCGTGTGTTGGTTTAGTTGTGAAGCAATGTCTGTCGATTGCTAAAGACATTGGGAATGTTAGTGTCTCCCATGTCAAGAGGTCAGCGAATCGTGTAGCTCGTGAGTTAGCTCGGGCAACCGTTTCAATGTCTGTTTCAGGGGTGTGGACTGGTATCCCACCTAGTTGTATTGCGAGTTTGTTAAGTCAGTAATGGAAGTTTCGGCGTTTGTTGTCTTCAGTGTAGTTTGTAGATGGATGACAACAGATAAATTGTGGCTTAACTCATTGGTTCAGTAGATAATATTTGAGAGAAGAGACCAATGTTTGAAACTCGATAGCGGCAGTGTGAAGATTATCCTCAAAATGAACAGATCCCTTCTGCACACCAACATCTAACCCTGTCTGCTGAGCCACTAAATTTCGGTGATTTACATCCTCTCAAATGAATAACATTTCTATCAAATGAAGGCACAGATTCTTTACCATAACTGCTATTTTTAGATTATGACACTAAATCGTATAATAACATATAATTTTCACATATATATATATATATATATATATATATATATATATATATAAACGATATGATAAAAAGACATGTACTTCAATTCTTTCACTTGATTGAAATATTGAAATACACTTCTTGAATCTTGTATACAAGAGCAAATCCGCCTTATTTTACTAAATTGATCTCAACATTGTGCCCGATGGAGCCGCAGGGAAGCGCTAGTCCTTGGTTTTGAGGGGACCGCGGAAAGGAAGAAAAGCACCAAACCAGAGTCATGAAAGTCATTGCAGATATTGAACTCAAGAAAGCCTCGACTTCATAAAGGCGATGATAATAGATCTCGGTTTGGCTATATTTTCCTTCCGTTCTCTACTACAATGCCAAGTAAAAGCCGCTTCATTTCCTTCCATTCCACAAACTATTTACCAATAACGATGAAGAAATGAGTTGTATTTTGGCGCCCCCTTTGCTCTCCCAACCTTGCTTGCTATCAAGAATACAGTTTACAGGGAATGAACGCCTTCTCAGTTTGAAGTAGAACCCTGCAAACGAACATCTCCACGACAGAGTGGGCACACGCTGAAGCATGAACATGTAAAAGAATAACGAACGCATTACAAGACCATAAGTGTACTTTCCCTTAATGGCAAAATGAAAGAAACACAAACTGCAGAATGAAAAGTTTATCGAGAGTTAAAGAAAGCGCTACCCATGTATCTCTTTCAGCCATTTGTCAACGCATTCCATGTGAAACTCATGGTGACATGGGAGTACTCGTATCTCGTCTCCTTCCTCATAATCAGCCAAGCATATGTTGCACCTATACAGAAAATTTACGGGTAAAATCATATGCTAACATCCACTGATTTTCGACCTGACAGAAGCACAATACAGAATCGCATACTAAACTACTTGCACCACACTAATTACGTGTTTGCTTGCCTTTCAAACTAGACCGAGCAGATGGTTAAAGGAAAAGATAAACTCACTGTGTTACATCATTCCCAATAGCTAATCCCTCTTTCTTCGAGTAACTTTTCACTTGTAAAGAATCAACAACTGCCTCTGGGGCAGGAAGTGAAACCATAGATAAAGAAAGTGACAAGGGATCCATTTCATTCAGTACCTGCATATCAAGCACCGAACAGTTGGATACTTCTTGATGACTAGCTAAACTCATATACAATAGTTACTATTCCAAAAAAAAAAAAAAAAAAAAAAAAGGTCTTTGTTTAGCTGTTTTTTTAATAAATAATTTAAATTTAGTGATTTATTCGCTCCATATTTACTAATGAGAAATATGGCAGTTTCTAGAAATGACAAATATTTATATGTTCCATATTACATCAAAACTAAGAGTTAATACCTCCAATGGTCCTTCAAGTATTGTGCTTTTACCAGCAAACGTCCTCCGAGTATAAAATGACCAGCAAACGTCATCCAATTATCAAAAAGTGACCAATAAATGTCCTCCGAGTATAAAAAATGACCACATGTGGTCTTCCGTTAGCAAAGGCATGAAAGTGGCGTTACATTTACGACTCACCAGTTTACCCTTCAATTTAACGCCACTTTCACACATTTGCTAACGGAAGACTATGGGTAGTCACTTTTTGATACTCGGAAGACGTTTGCTAGTCATTTTATACTCGGAGGACGTTTGCTGGTAAAAGCACAATACTCGAGGGACCATTGGAGGTATTAACTCTCAAAACTAATAAGCAATTAAGGTAAAAATATTTTGAGCACATTCTCTCAAATACAATATTTATTTATTTTTAACACATGAGGCTGTATATGAAAAATAGGATAAGATTTTCCGACATTTTTTTACAACATTCCAAGAACATTGTCAAACAGGCTTCGAGTTTAGAGAAGAGTCAGATAATATGGAAGAATGAATTCAGATCCCAAGGAGAAAAGGGAAATGCTTAGCCAACAATGATTACCTCAAATAATGCTTCAGCGAGCATGAACATTCCAGAAACACGACCAGAGCCAGATTCCTGAGCCACCGACATTGACTCACATGAACATGGGCCACGAAGATGAATACCAGTTGGACAGCTTGTAGTTCGATGACTTCTAGCACTAAGATCACCGGAAAGTCTTTCCAACATCTGCAAGGATAAAAATAACTCAAACTTGTTAAAACAATCAAGAATTATCCCAAATAAGCTCTTGAAAGGATTCGAGATTATTTAGATTGGATATCGAACATCACCTCTGATCTTGATTGTCGTTGTTGATCACTATTAGCAGGAGCTTGACTTCGAGGCCACCCGAAGTCCCTTCCCGCCCCTGCACCTAATGAATCATCATGAAATCCAAGCAGCAATCTCTCACGAGACCCTACATCATCTGAATTGTCATTTACAAAGATGAATGTGCTGGAATCAGCATTACTCCTTGAAAAAGAATCCCAAAATAGTCTTCTACTGTTGTGTCTTGCTCCACGACTATTTATCTCAGCAGAACTACTAGGATGGACATTGGAAGAGATACCCGACATTCCAACTTGAAACATGCCTCCGAGTCTTGGGGTCTGTTCCCTCTCCGACATCAGGAACTCTAGACCTGAAGGAATTATATCTTGACATGTATCATATCCAGGTGAATACGAAGCTTGTGAGGAATCCGACAAAGCAGATATAGAAGAAGAACCGGAATTATTGAAGACGAAAAATGCACTTGCTTGGTTTCCAATTAAATCCCCATTACTTGAAGACTCTAGAATCCCATGGGGTGATGCACTGCTAGGTTGGATGGAATCACCATAAATCTGATGCATATATTCATTCCCTGAACGAATTTGAGTTCCAGAGCTTTCTGTATTTATCATAGTATTTGAAGAGGTTGGAAAATAAAATGGTTGATCCACCACTATTGTACCGGAGCTTCCAGTACCAATATTATCAGGAGCAACTACTTCCATATTCTCAGGCAGTCTTTCTCCTTTATTATCTCCCTCAACACTTCTTGAATCGTCATCAAATAAAGAGCCCTCAAAATTAACCTCATTTTCCCCAGATGAAACTCCAGTTTCAGTTCCAGAGTAATTAAATGTGGAAGCAACTCTTTTCGTTGGATTTTGCAGCTTTTGTTGGTCAATATGTTTTGCAGAATTCACTGGCAATCCATCTGGAAAATCTTCTGTCTACAGAGTGCACAAATGCTATATGAATTCAGACTAAAAGGTCTAAATTACCTACTTGAAGACAAAAGCCAATGTACACTGGTGTTTAACGAAGTTAGGAGCAATCTTGAAAAATATAAAAGAAACAGACTTCTCATGGTATAGAACTTTAGGCTCTAACTTGAAAACTCTGTGTTATTCAAACTCAATAGAAGGTCCAAACATGATGTGCATAAAACTTGCTCGTGTAACAGTTTGGTTATGAATTCTAAGTGACAATTATGGATACCTTCTTGTATGCAGCTCCAAACTTACTCTCAAACCAAATGCAATGACTAATTGGCACATCGTTTTTACTCAAGTTCTTAGCATCTTACTAAGTTCTCCACCACAGCTTATGGTAGTCCCTTAAAGCCAACAAATTATGAACCGGCATAATATGATTTTTACTAGTTCCCAATCTTTTGGTCTAAAATACAAATTCACTTGCAACTTACAGGTCAGAACTATCAATAGTACACTTATTCAAACATCACCTAGCCAATCATCCCTAAACAAACACTTATTCAAACATCACCTAGTCAATCATCCCTAAACAATACACTTTACCTTCAGCAATATGCACCCATTCCATTCAACTCATCTTCTAAATCGCATTGTTATCCTTTGGAGCGAAAACATCACACTACCATACCCCAAACTCCCAAAGTTTGTATTTTTCTTACTAATACCAATTGTATCAGCTAAAACCGACTACCACCATAACTTCTGCAACATTGTTTTCTTCTTTTTTTTTGGGTCAGACCTGAGCAAGCCCTAGCTGTAGGAGGGGCCTTTAAGCCCGTACGCTACTCAGACTAATCCCCATTCGCACAGGGCCGGCCAATTAAGAGGCAAAGGCTAGCCAGATTGGTTTTTCCATACGAGAGGGGGTTCGAACTCCCGACCTCTATTAAGGGACTAGAGCGCACGGCCACTCACGCCAACAAAGCTCGTCACATTGTGCAATTATCTAACCCAAGAACTTCATGCAATACAAACAATCCTTGTCTAAGTCCCATTGTCATTTCAAGCACTCACGATATTAAAGAAAGCAAATCCCATTTATAGGTCCATCCCGAAATGCAATAATTCATATCCAAACAAACAAACAAACAAAGAAAATACATGAAATGGGTAATCCGTCAAAGATCTTCAAAACCTTAGAAGAATCAAATTCCATATGCAGCAAATAGGTGCAGAAACAAATAGATATACCTCATTGGAAGATGAGTGAGGAAGGGATGCGCCGCAGATAAAAATAGAGGATAATGAGCGTTTGGGGGTGCGGCTGCCACTAGGACGACGCGGGCGCGAGCCAAGACGGCTCTGGCTCGAACCCATCGGACCCAACACCCTCCGTGTCTGTGATCCTCTTCTTCTAGTCGACGGCGGTGGCGGATAGGAGGGCCGCGGGGGCCCGGGGTGGCGGGAGATGGAATGGTGCTGATGGCGAAACAGAGGTGTCTCTGGGTGGCATCAAACACACATCTCCATTTCTCCTTTTGCGGGTTCAAACTTTAAAACAAGCGTTTGCACAATTACGCATAACTTATGTGGGTTCAAATGCAATTAAAAATAATATGGGGCAGTGGTGTAAAATAACTTCTTCTTCTTTTTTTTTTTTTTTTTTTTGAAAGTGAGTGTGAAATAGGAAAATGATAAATGACTTTAAGCAAGAAAAATTTTGTCACATGTCTTAAATTTATTGGAGAGAGAAGAAGAGAAATTAAGAGTATCCCCAAAAGGAAAATTTTAGACTAAATTTTTAAAAGGGAAAAAGACACTTTTTCCCCCTGAGTTATATACCTATAGTATTTTTTCCTCCTAAATTATTGAAGTGGTTATTTTTCCCCCTAAAATGTTAAATGGACATATTTACCCTTAAACTAAATATTTAATTTATTTTTTTCCAACAAATTATGACCATAATTTGGTTCAAACTAAACAAACACTATAGCAACCAAACCGAAATATTCCAATTACAATTTAGAATCGAAATTCGATATTTAGAGTTTATTAAAATCGTGAACCGGAACGGACGGTTCATGTTCCGAACTGAAAAAATAAAATACATTTATTGTTGAATTTAGACTATTTTAAAATAAAAAATAAAATTTTAAAATAAAGACGGTTCAAAATCGCGAATCAGATCCGGAACCGCCGGTTCACGGTTCAAGATTCAATTTTTTTGATACATAATTTTAATAAATTGACATTTAAATATTGGGTTCTAGATATAACCTTCAACTATTAATTCGATTGCTTTAGTATCCAGTTCAATTCAAACCGAACCGTAGTCATCCCTACGTATACTCAATAATTTGTTGGAGTAATAAAATAAATAAAATGTTTACTTTAAGGGTATAAATGTCAATTTAATATATTAGGGGGAAAATGCACCACTTTTAGAATAATTGAGGGGGCTAATGTGCTTACCTAAATAATTGAGGGGGAAAAGTGCTATAAGTATATAACTCAGCGGTAAAAAGTGTCATTTTCCCTTTTTAAAATGTTGAGGTGAAGTGGAGGAAAGAGAGAGAAGATAAAGAGATGGAGAGTTGCTCCTGCAAAAATGGAGACTTTGCAAGTGAGTGAATTCTTCTTCTTCTTCTTTTTTTTTTTTTTAGATTTTGTTTTTTTTTTTTCTTTCTTTCTTTTTTTCCTCACCTCCCATTTTTTATTTTCTAATCACACATGTAAAATCAACTCAAAATCTTTACACTACTGAGGATGCCCTAAAAAAAACTGTGGCTCATATGTTTTTGTTGAAATAATATTCTCATTTTTGTTTAAAAGCCAACCAAACACGGATATATTAACGAATAAAGTGTAAAATACAATCAGGGGTGCCGAGTCACAAACATAGATCGTTTACTAACTTGGAAAAATGGAGGATTTTCCAGAAAAATGGAGAATTGAAGAAGTGAAAAAATGAAAATTGGAAAACTTGTTTACTAAAATCATTCTTCCAAATTCTTACTCTATCTCCATTCTCCATATTTCTTAAGGATTTTGGAGAAAGAAAAAACCAACTTCTCCATTTGGAGGAATGGAAAGACATGCGTGAACAATGCTTGTGTTGAGATCTAGGGATTGATTCTTGCTAGGTGCATGCGCGGCGTCCCTCTTCTCCTTTTTGAGTTGCCCACTGTTAGTCATGCATGATGCATTCCCCTCCCCCTTTAATTATTGTTGCTCCGCATTACTAATTATTATTTTTTTTTCTTTTTCTTTTTTCCCCTCATCCTTATTTTTATTACTAATTAAATTTTTGTTATCAATAAATTATTATTATCATTTTTTTCTTTTTCTATTTTTTTTTCACCTCATCCTTATTTTTATTACTAATTAAATTATTATTATCATTTTTTCTTTTTCTTTTTTTTTTCCCTAAAAAATACCATTACCGTTATAACTTCCGTTATTTTTTTCATTATTGTTACTATGTACATGCATCTACTATATATTTTCTTATATTCTTCAACAATATATATATATATATATATATATACATACATACATACATACATACATACATACATACATACATACATACATACATACATACATACATATATATATATATATATATATATATATATATATATATATATATATATATATATTGAAATTATATGTTAATTATTTCCTAACATATAAATATCAAATTTATAAAAATATTTTACATTATTATTATTATTATTATTATTATTATTTACAATAATTTAAATATTTAAAATTTAAATACATTTACAATTTTAATATAATGTACTAATATTTGGTCCCTATTTTTTGTGCATCGTGCATAAAAAATACTAGTAATAAAATAAAAATTTAAGAAATTAAAAACGGGAGGAATGGAGAAATGAAAAACTGGAAGAATGGAGAAGGAAAATTGAAGGAATGGAGAAATGGAAAACTGGAAGAATGGAGAAGGAAAACTGGAGAAATGGAGAAATGGAAAACTGGAAATGGAAAAACAGAGAAATGAAGTAAACGACCCCTAATCAGACTAGGTGTAGGTTAATAACATTTTCATTTATATATATCTTAATTATAATAAAGTCATATGGTGTTGTGAAAATTAAATGTTGGTATTAACAACATTTAATTTTCACAAGACCATATGACTTTAAGAAGCATGCATGCACACTACACGTCCAACCCAAAGTCCATAAGTTTGAAATTAATATATAGCATAGCTAGGCGGCGTAATATTTAAGATTGTTGATGTGCATATCGAGGACTACGGAGACAAAGATGCGTTATTCGTAGATTCATCGGATACTATCCAACAACACTCTCCAACTTAATTGACGTGAAGTAGGCTTAGTAACATTAAGATTATATTTTCGAACTATTAGTTCTCATCTTTTATTGATTACACACTTAATTCGATAGTATTTGGAAGAAAAAATCAATGTTCGAACTAAGATTGTGATTGTTTGGTCTTTAAAGGTCAATTGTATGTTGCTACATCTAGAGTTAGAAATCTCAAAGGTCTAAAAAATTTGATCCGTGGTGACTCTAAAATTGTAATTCAATTACTATTGTAGTTTACTAAGTTCTTAAAAATTTGTAATATTAAATACTATGTACTAAATTTTTAATATAGTTTAAGATTTGTAGTAATCACCCACCTTAAATATTATTTTAATTGTAAATATATTTATGTTCATAATTTTCTCATAGGAATTCACACATAATAATTATTAAATAACAAAAATTTTATATATGAATAAACCTCATATATGGTATATTTTTATAACATATTTTCCGTGCATCACACGGGACAAATACTAGTGTGTGTGTGTGTGTGTGTGTGTGTGTATATATATATATATATATATATATATATATATATATATATATATATATATATATATATTTGGCACTCCAGTTGTACCTGTGATTCAAATTTATAGTGTGTTTGAAAACATGAAAAATGTTTTTCAGAAAATGAGTCATTTTTCATAAAACATTTTTCTTTTCCGTGTTTGATTGCATTTCAGATTTCTGGTTCTCGATGGAAACCAATGAATAAGATGAAGAATAGGAAAAAAAAAATTGCTTTGGATTTTCCATAAAATGTCTTCTCCAAAACGGAAATCAATTTCCGTTGATCATCATTTTGCCCCATTGCCAAACACTAGAAATCCGAAAAATAATTTTCAGAAATCATTTTACGAGTTTCCTACACAACCTCAATGTTAAGTTATACTTCGTATGTATTATTATTTCGTATCTTTTAACCCCTCATTTATAAGTGAAGTGATGATTTTAGTCCCACAAAGATTATTTCTACGACTAATATATCACCTTATAAAATGATGAATTTGATCCTTAAAAGACTAAACTCATTATTTTACACATAACTAAGGGTTAGAGATGATCACATATATAACTTAGCATTAAATATGTATTGTTAGACGTTAGTCGGATGTCCAGATCGAGTTTCCCTACTCGATTTGAGACGTGATACAGTGACGTGGTTAAATAGTTAATACCGACTTATCACAAACCACATAAAAAAAAAAGAGTAAATACCCAAAATGGTCCCTCGACTATAGCTAACTTCACAAATTGGTCATCGACTTTCAATTTCAACCAATTAAGTCCTTAACTTTGTAATTTTGATACGATTTGGTCCTCCATCTATTTGACCGTTTGTTGACCGTGATCGACGATCTCTAGAAGATTTTTCAGCTCTCGTTGGAGCACGTGGAGGCCTCCAGGATGACGTTGCACTGGTTCGGAAACACGTCGTCTTCTTCGCTCTGGTACGAACTCAACTACATTGAATCCAAAGGGAGGATGAAGAAAGGCGACCGGATTTGGTAGATTGCTTTCGGCAGTGGATTCAAATGTAACAGTGTGGTCTAGAAATGCAACCAGAACCTTAAAAAACCGACGATGTACCATGAAATTACATATATATCTTCAAAAATCACAGTCAACAAACGGTCAAATTGACAAAGGACCAAATTGTGTCAAAATTACAAAATTAAGGACTTAATTGGTTGAAATTGAAAGTTGAGGACCAATTTATGAATTTAGCTATAGTCGAGGGACCATTTTGGGTATTTACTCTTAAAAAAAACCGAATCACAAAATGGGTGATATGAGATGATATGAGAAGTAAGCATAATGTAGATGGACATAATTGGAGCTAGGAGCCTAGGACAAAAAATGTAATGTTTTCTTAATTTTATTTAACCAGAAAAAACGACGACGTTTTATTTATACATACTAAAACCCCTGTCTTCCTAGTACCTGCTCTACACAGTTCGCCATCTCCTCTAAAAACCCAAGCCCTAGTTTCCGCAGCTAGCAATCTTCAGTGAAAGATTCCAGGCAATACTCGAAGCGCTTCGCATCGGAAACAGCTTCGGAAGAAGGCGAAGTAAGCTTGCTTGCGGCGAGCTAGTACGCCGGTTCATTTTTCAGGTAGCACATTTTACATCTATTTAGATATTGGCTATGAATGGTTTAATGTTTAT